GCAACTGATCAGCTGAAACTGTGAGACCCACAAGCTGGTTAATTATCTGATAGAGTGCTGGTACATTGGTACATGGATAAAGAGTATCTAGATAGAGTTCAAACGGGAAAGACAAAGCGATAACAGCGATACCCATCGCCACTGATCGGCAGTCAGCTTTCTATGCAAATGCTATTTGATGTGAGAGGGTGGCAAGATGCAAAGATTAGGTGTTGCTGTGGCTCAGTTGGTAGCACTTTTGCCTCTGGATGGGGACCCTTTTTTTGTCATCACACATGAATACCTATAATACCAATGGTCTTGGCGCTTACACAAGTATTCAAGTCACCTTTGATCCAAAGCCCTATCGTTCATTATATCAGTGGGCAGAAGTGTAGCAAACCCTCCAGTCCTGCTTGATTTTGCACTGGTTTCTAAACTTCAGAAAAAAATGCCAGACAGTGTCATTGAAGTTGCCATTGAAGTTGTCAACTCTTTTATTCTGTCTTAAAATTGCCCATCAAAATTTAGGACAGGGGGTTGTTAAATTTGCTGATAATAATACAGTGGATTGTATAATAAATGCTCCGAACTTCCAATGTCTAGAAAAGGAGAGTGTGTTTTGGATTACAGTCTGTCATGTAGATTTTAAGACGAACATTTCAGTGTATGGACTCATGTAAGCAAGCAGTTATACTGACCCATTGTGCTGTCAAAGTGTCTGAGGTCAAAACGCTGGTCTTGTTTAAGAAAATGCTTGATGTTAAATTGTCGATGTTGATGTCCTTGCTGTTGAAGGACAAGATCAAATTTGCTCTTCTCTATCCAAGGCTTTATCATCATGTCCCTCCAGGGCAGAGAGCAGATGTGTGTGTTTGTGTATTCAGTGTGTTTGTATTTAAAGAGAGAAGTCAAAGAATCTTGGAACAGTGCAAAATTTGCTTGAATTTTAAAACAAAGGTTGGACTGTGGTGTGTTGTATCTGTTCTTAATCAATGTAGATTAATTGGCAACATGTAGCTGAGGGGAGTTGTGTGTTTTGGATTTCAGTCGCTGTCTGTCCTGTAGATTTTAACATTAACATTTCAGGCAAAAGGGAAACAGAGACAGACGACCTTTGAACAATTGACTGGTGAATGTTTTCTAAAGTGAGGGAATTGTGGCAAGTTGCCCTGAAATCTATCTCTTAGAAAAGCATGAGGTTTATAAATAACAGTCATCTTTGTTGGAGGTATCTAAGCCCCCGCCGAAACTGATTTGTTTTAACTGCAAATTGAACATTGAATCACTGAGTTTAGAAACATAGGAAAATGAGAACAAAAGGAAGTCAGTCAGCCCATCGAGTCTGTTACACCAGCTTATTTCATTTTGAAGGATATTTTAATCTCAAAACCTGCCCTATCCCATTCCTTTTAATAGGTCTATCTATCCATTTTTATGGTCAGCTGGTATTTGACAAACCATCTGCTCGTGGAAATTCTTGAGTTTGGAATGGAATGGACACCCTCTCCCCGGAGGGATACATTCTGCTTACAGCATCCTGCTTAATATTAGGTCCAGGTTGGCCAGAGCCAAGGGTTGGGGATTCCAGAGTGTACGTTGGGGTATTGCTGGTGTTTAACCAGATAAAATTGCATAGGTATGATATTGGAAGTACTGTCTATTAAGCATCCTGTCTGCTTAGCCAGCTAAGACAATCCTATCCTACAGGAGCCGGGTGAGAAGATTCCCTGCCCCTAGTATCTATCTATTTTTCTTTTAAATATATTTTAAGAGTTCAATTGTCATTGCAATATTTGATCACATTTTAATCTGAGTGGTATGCCTGTAAGTCATTTAGTTTTGAAATTAAATTCTAAAGATTATAAGGTGATCAATGATCTTTGAGGGGCAGTAGCTGGTGTCACTGTCTTATGCCTGGAGCAAGAGACTGTGAATTGAGAATGCATGATTCAGATTGGCGAACTATAATTGCTGACATGTTAAGAGTGGCAGCTCAACAACCAAGGACTGAACTTTTGAAGATTAAAAAACTGACCGCTGCCACTACAGGGAAAAAAATCGTTCAATTGACCAGGGAGATGAAATGAGAAGCAAGCAAGAACCAGACTGATCAGAAAACACTGAAGTCTGAAGCATGAAATGATTGGCAAAGCCTCTAAACAGAGACTACATGCAGCAGAAAGGCAGCCAGAAAAAGGAGCAGGAGAGAGGATGTGAACATGAGGTATTGGAATCTGAACAAAGAAAGGCTTAACATCTGTGGCAGAATAAGTGAGGGGGGAGTTGCGGCCCACATAAGAGATTCCTCAGAAGAAGTTGAGTTACATTGGTCACACTAACTTCTCAGCAGTAATCCAGAGCCCAGCGGATATCACAGTCCAGGCATATTTAGTAAGAGCTGTGAGAGTCAGAAAGAAATATCACGGAAATTGATCTTTCCACTGGCAATGGCAGTCTTTACACCAGGAACTTATTGGTTGATCCACAGTCAAGTAGTACTGACATTGTGAAATAACCATGGGAAAACTGACCTATAGTACGTGGTTTTGTTCTTTCTGTACTGGTTAAGATGAGGTCAGGTGATCTAACTAGAAATATGTCCTCCCTGCCATGGTAACTTGGAGTATGATCTGGAGCCATGGCCTCAATGGCCATGACCCTGGTAACGCAAAGTTGAACAGTTTGTACTCTATTTTATGTGCTGGTAGCATTACTATTGTGGGAGGTCAAAGAAAATGTCTATGGGTTGATGTTCAAAGCAGTATCTTCTTCACATTGCAAAGCCAAAAATGCTGGGTTCTCAATTCTTACAGCCCTCTCACAGTTTACAGGTCTACAATAAATAGGTCAGCCAATAACTGTGAGAACCACCTCCAATGAGGCACTCACTTTGCTTGGTTTCAAGCCTGGTTGCATTGATAGATTCGACTATGATCACTGTTCTTCAGAACCGCAACAATGGAATACCAGCCAAACTCAAAGAAACTCAATTAAAAAATCTTACCAGTGCAAATTTACTACCATGGTTGACCAGGCAGGCAGTTTTTCAATATGTTCCAACTTGTGCGTACAAGAAACAGGGTTCAGTGTATTGATGGTGTTGGGGCAGAAATTCTACAGGCAGAGGAAATGTGTGGCATGTTGGTATTGATATCTGTGGAGACTTTGGATTTGTTGGATTTGTTGAAGGTATTCAGGTGTGTTTGTAGCAGCTTTTGTATCTGTCTCTTAATATGAATGTCTGGCTAAAGTGCTAACAATTTGTGGTTTTACTCTGGTCATAATCTTGTAACAGACTGGCAGCCTAACCCTATCGCTACAATGTCTTATGATGAGTAGATAATTCTTATTAAATCCACTGCCCTGCATGGCTTCAGACTGCACTGAGTCCAAGAACAAGAGATAGGTTTCTCTGCAGCTTGCCAAGCAACCTGAAGTATTTCATCACTCACCTCAGATAGACTTTGATGCCAATAGTGATGAGGAGCATGAGCTTTCTTAATAATATAAACAATGCAAGCAAAGTATGGAACACCGAAAAGGCCTTTGGTTCCATCATTGCAGCTCCTTTCACAGGCTATTTGGTTCCATTCTTACCAGTGGTTTCAAACTCAGAATGAACTCCCCGATTCCTGAAAGTTACCAAACAAATGGAGTAAAGTATTCATCCATCACTTTGTCTGCAATGTTCAGTGCTGGCCTGTACCCCTCCACAGCACAGCAATCTTCCTCCCAGACTCAACTTATTTTCTATAACACCCAATGTTATTTCCCCAGCAGATATGATTCATGTTATTTTTATCGAGAGTTAAGGTCCAGCACTATGGCAAGAACAGCAGAGCAGTCACATAGCCTATGATGATAAGCCAACTATAACTTGCCTGCAGGACACTTTCCCTTCCTTCCTACTTTAGCAAGAATCTGTAAGAATCTCCTAAAAATCACCACTACATTAATGCTAGTGTTAACAGAGTCAGAGGCTCACCCCAACAATTATTAAAATATTTTACTGGAATTTGACAATTATTTATTGACTTTGACAGAGTTCATGTGAAGTCAATGGCAGTAGACAGCAATTCTTTACATATTTCCTAGACTTTGACAAACTATGACAGGCATGTTTCTTATGGCTGTAATTAAAGGTTATGGGTAGCAAAGTGAAGTCTATTAGTGTGTTTTATTGGAGGGAAGAAGAAGAATCAACATTGTTGGAAATAATTTAGGTTTCAAAGAAATATCTCTGAGATAAATAACATGGTTGACATAAAATGATAAACCCCCAAAATGGGTAATAATACTGTCCAGTTTTGAGTTGTTCTGTACATGCAAATCATTAAGTTGCACAAGCTTCTTACCAGTTTTGCCTGCATACAAACCACCTAAACAGCACCAACAATGTAGAAAAGGTAACAAGCTGTTGACCTGAAGTTCTACACAGTCTTAGAGAAATTAATTTTTTCTGATAAATTTATGATTGCACAAAATAGTGCAAAATTCTTTATTTCTGTAGTTTTTTAAGAGTACTTAAAACCAGATTGACGAACCCTTGACAGTTCTCCTGATCTTCAAGTTGAAGATAAAATATTTTTACATGCGGAAACTAGATGGAATTTCAGGCCTTGATGTGATGGGGGTGAAAGTGAGCGTAGTTTTAAGAAATATTTCCGCATGGCAGTAATTATCACCTCGTATTTTTCTTTCCTCAGAACCAAAGTTTGACAAATGCCCCAATTTTCTGGTTGTATGAAGCATGTGCCTTTGTAAGTCTCATTCCCAAATCAACAACCACTGGTCCTTTAAAGAGCTAGCTGTAGGCAAGAGCATGCACATTAGGAGTGGGAATAGGGTCACAGCACAGTTCACTTACCCTTAAAGAGAAGCTGTGTTTGCAGTTCAGGTGCAGGATATATGTAAATAAAACTCATTCAGATTGGGAATTAAATGTTTGATGAATTATTGCACCATTATGCCTAATGCTTTTTTATCGGTAGTGTTCTTATTAGTTTCTTTAATTACAGCAAGCTGTTAAAGAAAACCAGAAGCACAGGGAGGCTGAAGAGAAGATGCTGAAAGCTAAGATATTCAGACAGAAAAGTGAGAAGGAAAGACAGCAGAAGAAAAAGCAACTTTTGGACATTAATGCAGGTATGTTTAACTTTTGCTCTGCATGCATATTTTGCCATCAGTTATTATGGGGGTGGGGTTGGTGAGATTTCTTTCCCATATTGAATTCAGTGGGATATAGGAATAGTGATATGAGCAAATAAGCCACGGGACTTAATGAAATGATGCTTCGATTTTATGAAGAGTCTGTCGGTGCTTGGGAAGTAATTCCAAAAACTGTGTTTTTCTGCTCTGCTCTTTTATATCCTCACAATAACATTTAATTTTTAGTGCCTTTTAAAAAAAAAATGGTACCTGTGTGGAAGTCAGGTTTGAAAGTGGTTGACTTTATAATAGCAATTATGTTGAGCATTGCTCAATGGGTACAGATGTGTATCTGAATACTCTCAATTAAGTTTTAGCTGGTCAAATTCTAGCAGTACCCCGCTAGGGTCACCAAGCCTTGGTGGCTGTCAATCTGTTCCTGTGCATATTCCATTCCAGACACAGGGAAATTTCCATGAGTAAGTGACATATATTTGTTGTTTGGAAACTCTTAAGCAGAATGATAGGTTTCCACATGCCAGTCACCCAGCTGATCAAAAAAATGTTTTGAACTAATATCATGTCATGATTTGTGATTGGTGTGATGATTACTATTAACATACCAAGGATGTCTAACCTTAATGATTGCTTAATACCATTGCCCGATTCCTAGTACAGACACTTTACTTATAATGCAGTGACTGATCCCTGTCAACTTCCCAGAATTTTAAAATGCCAAGAACAATCATATCGTGCATAGTGATAATGCTGAAATTACAATGACTATATATTACAACAACAAAATTACATTTGCATAGCTCCTTTCACATTGGGAGGACGTCCCAAGGCGCCAGACAGTCAGTGTTTTGTACCCGAGCTGGGGGTCGGGATTGGGGAGGGAGGATTCGGCAGGAGGGAAGGAGGGTGATCAAAGGCATGGTCGAAGAGGAGGGTCTTCCAGAATGCACAAAGATAAAATTATGAGTTCTCTAGTTTGAACTGGGGATTCTTAAGCACAACAAGGGTTTCCAAGTGTCAGTCCCCCAGCTGATCAGAATGAGATGTTTTTGAAGGTTAGGATTCAAATCCATGTCAGTTATATGAAAGTTCAGCCCTCACAACTCAAACTACTTTGTTAACAAACTCACTTAAGCTGACTGTTCCAAACAACTAATCAAATATTGGACCCTTTTTACAAATAACAGGCTAGAAACCATAAAACCATGTGTGCTGTGAGTCCCCTAAGTACTTGCACAATGCCGTCATACCATTTATTATAAAATTAATGTAGCAAAGCCAATATCATTGTTTTTGCATTACCCGAGCAAAATATATAATATATCACACATAGGTGATTTGTAATGAAATTAATGTATTTTCCAAAGAGTTTTTCAAATGATCATTCATAAGAAACATTCAGACATTTTCCAAAGCACTTGAGTAGTCAATACCTTATGGATTCAAAGACTCACTGGTGCTTGTTCAGAAAACAACCACAGTAGCTCTGTATATCCCCATCATGCCCATCAACCTCTGGAGGGATTCTGATTTCAAAGTAATTTGATAGCGAAAATCCACTCTCTTGGGAATACACCAAGGACGAGTTGCGCTCTACTAAAAAAATGCTTCATTTCGAAGCTATAAAGCACCACAAGAGAGGTTAGAATGAAGAAGAACTTTATGAGCTTATCCTTCAAGAAAATCCACCCTTCAAATTTCCTATTGCAGCATAAAACAGTCCAACATTCAGCCTCCACCATCCTTCCTGGTAATCTGTTCCACACTCTTTGTGCCAAGAAATAAGGCCTGATTTCTGTCCTAAACTGCCCTTTGCATTACTGAAACTACAGTACATTCACTTGTCCTGTTGCTTTGAGGTATGTGAAAGTATTGTTTGAGTTTCTTCCTCAATATCATTTATCATCTACTCCAAAGATCCCCTCTAAAATGCTTCTTTTAAAGACTGAAGAGCCTGAATTTATGTAATTGTCCTTCTAACACTTCTAACACATCCTCATTGTTCTCTTTTGCACTACCTACTGGGCCCTAAAAGTACACTTATGTTGTTGCAACTAGAACTGTACAGACCAATTTGTGTTTCCTAACCAGAGTAACAACATATTTTATTATTCTTGAGAGTTCATGATGTAACCGTCTGAGAGTTGGGGCAAGTGTAACCATACATTAGACTGTGAAAGTAACCCAAGCTCTGAAATGATAAGAACATACACCTGAGGTTTACGAACAGGAATAAACTATTAAATCAACCCTTTTACTTGTCTTTTGACCGCATTCTTCATTGCCTTCTTTCATCAGAAAATGTATTTAATTCCCTCATGAATTCATTTAAATAGCTTACTTCAGTGGTCCAGCCTGGTAACCTATTCCATTAGTCTATTATTCTATGGGTGAAAAGTTCCACTTCACTTCCTTTCCTACTCCTATTACTAATGTTTAACTTCTGTGGCCTGGTACTTGTGCCCTGGTATTTGAACCCTTCATCACAGGGAGTAATTTGCCTGCCTCAACTTTGTCAATTCCATTTCATGATCTCCAAAACTTTAATTAGGTCACCTCAGAGTCTCCTCTTCTAAAGGAAACAGGGCCAACGTTTTAACCTTTTGGCATAACTTAAATTCCAAATACTCTGAATCATCTGTGTTCCTTCTCACTGTACCCTCTCAAGGGCAATAATATCCTTCCTCTGGAACTCTACCTACGATGTCATGTGATACCAAAATCCAGGGTCTATTTCTCTGAAGACATCTCCGAAATTTTAATGGCGCACAGATGGGTTGAGGTATCTTAAGGATCCCATTACATTCGATTATAGGCTTTGGTGTAAAGACAACATCTTTTCCTTTGAACACCAGGTACACCTTCTTTCACTGTTGGGGAGTTACCTATGGGTAACAATATCACCCCATGTTTAATGTATCACATTCTGATGATGTATCATATTCTGATGATGTAACTTGTTTTAACAGTAAATATTTATTTTGGTGGTTCTTTCCTGAAGAGACTATGGCAAAGATAAACATAGCCAGAAGAAAATGCTTGTATGAAAGAGTAACGTTGTATTCCCAGTCTGTATTGTAAAATATGTCGTGTTTCAGTCGTGGCCTTTACTGAGGTGAGTTCTTCCCTCACTGGATTATCAACCCTTAGATTGTAATTTAAGTGGAACCTGATGGGGAAGATGGACATTTGATGCTTGCTGTAACAAACTGCAGGTGTTTTAATAACATCTTATCCTACTTGCACCTTCTGCGCTGCCTCAAGTTCCCTTATGCTACAGTTCAATCTATGACTGTGTGGGACACTGCTGTTGGCTGCCGCGTTTCACCTACAAAATATACAGTCAATTCACTTTACAGGATATTCTGTGAAGCGCTTTGAGAGATCGAAACGTGGCAGCCAATTGCCATAGCAGTGTCCCACACACAGTTGTGGATTGAGTGACCATTTTTTTTCTGGAAGCAATTGTTACCCCCGGAAAAGTGATCCACCAATCGACTAACATCCGGTTTCCTACTTACCGCTCGGTAAACAGCGGCGTGTGTAGTAAGGAAACTTGCCCAACATTTTGCGATGCTCGGGAATTGAACCCAGGTCTCTTGCTTGTGAAGCGAGTCCTCTAAATACTGAGCTACAGGACTCCACCTGCCGATATTGGATGATAGAAGTGGGGGAAAAAAATGTTCTCTCTCATGCCTCATGCTAATGAGTGCAAAGGTTCACTCTGAAAAAGGAATATAAATTATATTTATTTTAAAGTAAATTCTTCTGAATTACATACTGTATCTGGGACATTCTTCGTATACAATTAGGCTCATCACTTTTAATTGAAACGGTTTAAATCAATGCATTATGAAAATGGGTAGTTGATTTCTACGTGTGAATAAGAGATTTATTTCTGACCAACCGACCTCTTTACCTGTTTTCTCTTTTATTTCAATTTTGTTCCTTTTTTCTGGCCTGTTTTACTCATCTTAGCCATTTTGTCGTTTGTTTTCACTGAACAATAAATTGGCAATGTATTAAATTTTGGAAAACAATTCATTTGAATGATGTAAGAGAGAAGTCAGTGTAAGATTATCTCTATTTTGTTTTAACTTTGGGATAAGCATAATGGATTGGGTTTTTCCTATCCTATATATCCCTAAGGGGACGGAAATTGCAATATTTGATGTGATTATCAGAGGTGATAATTGTCACATTGCCAAAAACTGTAGTCCGGCTGAGTCTTTGATTATTGAATGGTTTCTAATGAGAGCCCCGTTTATCTCCTTCACTTCGCACAATGGTTTTGGCATAAAGTCAGCCCCCACCATTGTTGTCAGTGCTGCTTCGTGTGATACTGCCTAACTTTATCCCAAGTGACAATTATCACATCACCTATTATATATTGCAATGCTGTGTATATCTCAATAACTCAGGTTCTATGTCATGGCCCCTACTAATAGCCCATTATTAGTGATTTTATTTTTTCAATGCAGATTATGAATTTATTCAAGTTCTTATGAAACCAATAATTACATAAGCAAAGCATGAAACATTCACATGCTGTATGTATCTCAAGTTACATTTGGTTTTTAACATTTTTTAGATCATTTAAGCATTGTATTTGAGGCTTCTTTTACCTCTTTAGCATTTATACTTGCATAAATATTAGCTTTTAAAGTTTGCCTTTCTTAAGATGCATTTAAAGTGTGTTTTATTACTCATACTAAATATTTCAGTGTTTAATAATCCCAAACAAACCTCCTGATACACTGATAAATATTCTCAAGCAACACTGTTACAGGATCCTGCTTTTCCTATTCTCATCACATTATTGCCTTTGGAACTATTTTCCAGGCTCTCCACACTGAATGAAGCACCAAATTCTAAGTAATAAGAATTACTCCTGTTTAATTTATGATCAAATGTTTCCTGGCACAAAGGATTCAACTGCTCTCTTTATAGCTCAATGGCTGGATTGGGGCTTGAAATCC